ATGGGAGTGGCTCTCGGGGGGCAAGGCCTCAGAGTGACCCCTGAGAGGGGGTCGGGGAGGAGTCCCAGCCAGGGTCCAGTTACTGGGGGAAGGGTCTGGACAAAGGGGAAGGGTCACCAGGTGATGGACACATCACCTGGGAGGAGACGGGGGATGGGTTGGGGTTTGATGGACATACAAGGACTGATGGGAAAGCTGGGATGAACAAACAGGTACAAAGAGGGGATGCGGAGGGACAAACCATTATGAGGGGATATACAGTGCAAACACAACTCTACAATTGAGTGCCCAGCAGTCACTAAATGCAGTTTTCTAAATGTTAATTTAATTGGAGTCCATGTGGTAAGAAAATAATGCTGTGTTCTTCTTCAAAGGGAACTTTCCTTGGTAAGGCTAGTAGCTTCTGGAGCCTTTCTTACACTCTGTTACACTCTGTTATTTATTTATACTATTTAATTCCATATTTGTATAGTATTTTTACTCAGCAGTTTCTTAAAATTTTCTGTGCATATTCCTATTTGGTTTTGAATTTGACAGTCTTGATATCAACTTACTGTGAAGCAACAAATCCAATATAAGAAGCAAACAAACAAGTGAGTTTTGGGACAAATGATGACAGAAACACAAAATTAGGCTGAATTTATTTCTTTTAGGTTTTGCCAAATGGTTGTAAATGGAGAATAGTCTTGATTTTATTTTTATCGACCTAATTCTTCTGAGAAGATTAACAATACTTCTGACGTTTTGACTAATTGCAATTACAGTTGGCCTCTCTATCCAGATAATGGTGAGAATTTTGGAAGAACATGCATAGTTGGAGTGCACACAAGGGCAACTTCTGTTTTGTAAGGAGTTTGTGGTGCTGGAAAAGGGGATTTACTTGTGTGGAGTTCAGGCTTTGCCATGCTGCTTGTGATGCAGAGAAAGTTAGAGGAGTGAGGCACTCCTGAAAAGCTCCTCTCCATAGATAACTGCAAGAGCAAGATCTGTAGTTTTCCTCCCGTTTTGCTGCAGTATGTTCCATCATCCCCTTTAAGGTGTAAATCTTTGTATGTGATGAGGGGATTTTCTGTGATATGTAGAATATACAAATGAAAAAACAAAAGTGCGGGGAAGATGTGAGGCTGTTACCGAGTTAAGGCTGTGATCTTGCTGTGGGTATAGCTAGTGATCAATGTATTCATGGCTCTACCCAGGAATGTATTTTATTATTTAAGTCAATATTAACAAACTAGCTAATGTGATATGAATTTTTAGTTTACATGTGGCTCATGCAGTGAATTTTACAGGGGTCCTGTAGAAAACAGGTAGTCACATATGTAGTTAGACTCTTGCAATGTGTTTGCCTGAATAAGCAAACTTAGACAACACTGGCAATTCTTAGGCAACACTGATTTTGTATTTCCCACCTCCAAAAGATTGCTTTTCTAGGTTAATGTGAAGAATGGTGCACTGAGAGTATGTGCATACACATTATGGCTGAAATAAATCTTTCTAAGCTTTTGTACAATCAAGTTTTGATTGGTTGGGTTTTTTTCCTTTTAGCCATGTTAGAGTTCTTGTATTGTCATGCTTACTTCTCCCCTTAGGAGATTACTATCTTTTTCTAAGGCTTCAACTTGAGATCTGTTTTCTATCAGAGCATCCAGTTTAGCTTGAAGCACTGGTTCTTACACAATTTACTTTTCCCTGGGCATTTTAGCTTAGCTTAAAGATAAGGGTTGGAAGTCCAGGAACAAAGTAATGGAATATGCAAGGTCAGCTACCACAGTAAGAAGAATTAGAACTGACCTGACACCAGCAGCACATCTTTTCATCCACATTTTTTAGTTTCTCTACATTTGATTGTTTTACTCAGAAGAGAAACTAGCTAGCTGCTTTTTGAATTTTTTATTCTCCCTTTACATTTTAGTGTAAGATACAAGCCACATCTGTTTCTTACTAGCCATTTGACATGTACTTTCAACAGAGAAAATATGGGGTTTTTTTGAGCCTTTTCTCTGCTTTTATTCAGACCGTGACACTTCCCTTAAATACTTTTCAAGATGTGAAATCCAGGGGTTTATCCAAAGCAAAACTCAAACACTTTATTTTGTCAGCTGTTAAAAAAGAATGTCAGGACCAAATGACTCTGAGTTTGTAGTAACATTAATATGCTTTCAATTAATAGTTTAAATATGGATGAGAGGTGATTCAGTAATCTAAAATCAAAACAGGTGCTTTTGTTAAGTAAATAAAAAATAATGGGAGAACTACTTACCATCTCTTCTGAACACCAAATTATGTAATTGAACAGGGATACCATATATTAAATAGCCTAACTACCCTTAAAATTTAGCAGAATTAATTTAGAGTTTGTTGGATAACAGCATTTTTCAGAGAGGGTGTGTTTGAAACAGATGTTAACATCACTCCAGGTGTTAGTGGGAAATGCCACAGGTGCATCTTGCTTGCCTGTAGGTAACAATGTTTTTAAGTTGAAAGCTGGTACAGAGTCAGGGCTCTTTGTGATCTCTGTAGCTGGTGCTGTGTGATGCTTTCCTTTTATTTTCTTTTCAAAGTGCAAGGAATGGTAAATGCAAGAGAGTTTAATTTTTTTTTTAAATAAGATCCTTCTTCTTTGAAACAATAGTCCCAAAATCATGTTTGTTCAGAGTCAATGAAAAAAAAACTTTCTTGCCATTCCACCTGCTTCCCAGTCCTTCTGTGCCCCCCCCAAAAAAATTCTTTGTCCTGATTTTACCAAACTACATCCGGTTTGCCCTGTTTTGAGCCAAACTCAGGAATGCTTCTCTCCATCTGTTACATAGAGTCTGCTAGTAATTTCTTTTTTGTTAGTTCTTGCTCAGGTCTTGACATATTGTCAGTAGCCCTTCCAGTTCTTGGTTATCTCTACTTAAAAGGCACTTAATTTGCTTTGCTTAGATTTTTTTTTTTTTTTAATGTACTCTTTGGCACTTTATTAAGCAATTTATTCTGTAGATGATATACTTAACACAGAATGTTTTGCATGCATATAAACTTTCATCTGGTGCATCCCAGGATGCTTAGTGTCTGCCACAAATGTTCTGTATGTGAGTTCATCTTGCAGCATTAGGAACCTACAGTACTGGTGTATTGCTTTGTATCTTTGTACTGGTCATGCTTAGGGTCCATTTCACTTTTTGTAGAAATAATTTGGGCAGTCGTCCATTCCTGTCAGATCCTGGTGTCATCTGAGTTGTTGCTGGCTCTGCCAGCCCATGCCAATATGGCTAATTTGGGTAGTAGGGTTTACCTTTGTGATCGTGGCAGAGTGGAAGTTTAAGTATATATATGGCACTTCCAGGTGACTTCAAGGTTTATTTTTTGGGCTAACTGGGTAAATTTTGTATCTGCAAATGTTTCTTCACTTGAGGTACGTAAGCATGTGTGGATCATAGTGAGCTGTCAGAAGCCTTATCCACAATTGTGGAACATCAGAATGGAGCATCTGCAATAAATGTGCTTGCTGCTTATATTGGAGAAACAAATACAGTTTTAGGGGTTTCTTTTGTTGAGAAATAACAAGAACCTTGAAATCAGTGATAAAACTTGAATTACAGCAATTCAGCATGTTAGTACTAAGACATAAACTTGCCAGAAGATACAGGCAAAAACATTCATTTAAAATGACCAGAAACAAACAGTTTCTGCTTAGTTGTTGAATGTAGGGTTTGGGGTTTTTTAGCATTAGTAGATGAAATTGTTGTCTCTCTTTTTTTTTCTTTTTTTTCCCAGTCTGTTTATTTTACATTGTTTGGAAAGCCTTTTGGTTAACATGCTGGATTTATCCCCAAACACTCAAAGAAATATTAAACATATGCAGCAAGTTATCACAGTTTAAAAGTGGGGATGAGGGTGCCTTTTTTTTTTCTGACAAAGAAAGGAAAAAAAAGAAAATAGTCTGAACTTATAAGTCTACATAAGTTTATCCCATTCAGGGAGTATTACATGGCACAGGAAATGTCGAGTTTCAGGTTAAATATAAGGTGAGCCATGGGTCACCTAACCTGCAAAGCCGATGGAAAGAGACACTGGCTTTTGCTTGAGGTTCAGCTGTAAACAACCAGGAGCAATCTTCTGAACTGTTGTTACTTAATAGACAGATCTCTGAAGAAGCTCCTCTGTCACTAGTTTTTAGCATTTCCATGTGAAATAAATATTTATACATATCTACTCTGCAGGTTATGTTATTGATTACAATATGACTTGTTATTGTTGAGAAAGGATTATTCTTCTCAATAAATAGAACTGAATAATCTCTCCCATTTCACCTAATATATAACCTTACAAAGTAGGTTTCTAATTTCCTCCTTAACATATATCCTCCAGAAATTAATTTTTTTTTTCCAGTTTAGAAGACTTAAAAAGAACCCAATTTAAAATTTTTATTGTTCATTTAAATGTATAGAAAAAGTGTGTCTGCTGCTGTGAGAAGGCTCACAGGTGAAGATCTTCATGCATCGTGCATGGTTCTGGACATCTGGTTTTGGGTGGCCCGCTCAAGCAGGGTAGTTGGTCCAGATGATCTCCAGGGCTTCCTGCCAACCTCATCTGTTCTGCAATTCTGTTATTTGGAAAAGAGCATTAACATTTAATAGTAATTTTTAACTTCATTACTTGCTACAGGAGAAAAAAAAGCACTTAAGGCAACCTGTTCATTTAGAAATTTCATTGCTTTTGTTTCTGGTAAAACAGTGAATGGAGTGGGATATCAAAGCATGTCAATGACCTAAATAGAGCTGACAATGAATAGAATTCTAGACATACATAATAATAGCAGTCAGATATTCCGATTAGTGTAAAAACACTTGATGTATTCTGTCAGAAGGTTTATTAAAATTGTAGTTATGTCCCTTTTGAGAGTATGGCAGGGATGGTCATGATGGTCATTCTTTTTAATAACTCTACAGTAACGCTAAAAAAAATTACAGAGCTGAGTAGTTAACACTGCGTTTTGTTGTTTTTTTTTTTAACAGTCCACATACTGGGGGGCAGAGTTACCAGCCTGATGTACCCCAAATTCCCACTGCTTGCATCACTGTGGAAGATGCTGAAATGATGTCACGAATGTCTCACCGTGGCACTAAGATTGTTGTGCACCTGAGGATGGGAGCTAAGACTTATCCAGACTCTCTGTCATTTAATACTGTGGCAGAGATAGTTGGAAGCAAGTACCCAGAGCAGGTAGGTGAAAATATACAAAACCCCCTCATTTTTTCTTTAAAAATATGGATGAAACAATCAAAAAACCAAACCTACCCTTTTGAAACAATCCCTAAAACATGTAACTTTCATTCACATGCTCTTCAATATTTTAGACATCTTAGCTTTTCAATCTTTTACAGGTAACAGGTTTCATGACTAGGTTTAGCAGGTATATATGATTGGAATAAACTGTCTGCACCACAAATTCTGTTTGAACATTTTATAATTCTACATTGTTGTCTTCCATTTGTAAGACTTTTCTTCTTGCTTTCTCCTTTCTTCCAACTTCTTAGCTAAAAATGATACAAACAAAACTCTTGGTGCTGAAGGATTTGTACCTGGTACAAAGTCTTCTGTGTCAGCTTAAAACATGGAATTACCTTTCTGACAGTATGTTTTATTGTGAAAATGTTCACGCAACCTCAATTACAGCAGCACTAGAAATTGCTGCTAGAGTACCTACTGAGCCACAATGCTTTTTTTTAAACACTGTATTTTTTATGGCTTTAATGGAGAAGAAGAATGTCTATCTCTGACCTTTAAACCAGGAAAGAGATTTTATGCATTTAAGAGATTTTATCTTTTATGAGATAACAGTTCAGTAGCTCTGGCTTGTGGTGTCAGAGATCCTCAGTGAGTGTACAGTTTCAGCAGCTTGATCACTGGGCAGGGAAAGAGTAACTACCCTGATGGTTGATTGGTTTGCATAACATCATCTGTGAGTCTAGCTTCATGAAACACATATTTACCAAGTTAAATGTTCCAACTTTATAATTAGGGTGCATTTAATTTAATTTTATGTCATCTGCATTTTAAACAATGTTTCTAACCAGTTAATTTGCTGTCTTTCCTGAATTATGTTTGGTGTACTTCAAAATTTGACATTTCAATTATGAAGTGTTCAAATGTAGACTTCAAAGATATTTTAAGGTGCTTGCCTGGACTTGATTTTCTCTTTGCTGTCCTGCTCTGTTTCTTTAAGTAATGAAGAGAATTGGGATCTCTTCACTACTTCCACTGACAAGCTCATTTTTTTAAAACACTGGGTAAAGGCTTATTTACAAGTCCCCTGCTGATGATAATGGGAGTGGTAGTGGATACACTTTGAAAATGTAACCAAGAAACAGGAAAATAAAACAAATTAATGTTTAGGGTTTTTAGTACTCAGTTCCTGTAGGAGCCTTAATGGGTGCTTCACTATCCTCATTCCATTGCGTTACTCTGGTAAAAATGGGAACCATCTCGCTATTTAGGCAATAAAGTACATTACAGATCCAAACTCTTACAAGGCCCTCTATGCCAAAGTGTTTCAAAATGCAGTACAACTCCATGGGAACAGAAAGATGCCATTACCATGGGCCAAAATTTCAGTTTAAGTTTTGAATTGAAACAAACCCAAATCTGGATCTCGACTCTGGGATAGAAATTGTGTGTGCTATTTCTCCTACAAAGGTCTAAAGCAAAACAATTTAAAATTAGGTTGAAACCTGTGAAACATAACTCTTCACTGGTATTGCTGCAAATTATAACTTAAACCCCTGAAATGTAGTTGAAAATGAGGGTTGCTGTAGGACATTGAAGAAAGTGTGTGAAGTCTGGTGAGAAGTGATTCAGCTCAAGATGTAACTACACATTTAGGTATACTTATGCTCATCTATATATTGACCAGGATTTAATATACTACTTGATTTATAAATAATTAATTGACTCATTCCATGATATTTCAACATATTTATTAAAATAATCACCATGAACTGAAATAATATATCTGACAAGTTTATATTACAAACAGCATTAATTATTATTATTAAAATACGTTAAAGGATAAAATAATTTTTTCATACCTGTTTAGAGGTTTTGGGGGGGTTATTTTTTGTTTTGCTTTGTTTTTTGTTATGTTTTGTTATTTTTTTTAATTTGACCACTTTTGCATCATATCCAGTGCTATTTTTACTTTTTCAATCATTTCTCCAAGTGCTTTATGTGTATTTTTACATATAGCAATTGGGGCTTGGGGGGCTAAAACCAGAAAAATGTTAAGGAAAACAGAAAAATAGTAGTTGACATATTTTTTATATACTTTCCTAACGGTATCCTGTATTTTAGACTTAGTGTTCTGAAAATCATTGCTGCTACAAGAAATGTTAAAATCATCAAAATGGCTACTCAGAATTTTTTGAGTTGCAAACCTTATTTTAGGTACCCATGCTTAACTTCAACACATTTGCATTTCCAAGTAACCTAAAGCAGTAAAAGAAATGTTATTACTGCTTTTTGAAGCATCAAGCTCTCAGGGGTGCATTCATCATCAGAGGTGATGATGTGAGCGTAGATGTCCTGTGTCTTTTTGAGGCATCTCTGTACCCTATGTGCAGCAATTTTGAAAAATTAACCCACTGATACTTCAGGTTTCCTTCCTGCTTTATCCTTTTTATTTGGCTGGCCAGTAGGCAGTAAGCAATTGTTCCAGCTAGGAAAAATACATGGTGAAACCTACTGCAAGCTGCAATTTTGCAGTACTAAGTTTGCAGGTGGTGTAGAAAGCTTCTGAACAGAAAAAGGAAATGGATTCTGTCATGTCACACCAGTGTCTCTGTTCTATTTATAACTGTATCATTCCTTCTAAGTTAGGAAAGGACTGTTCACCCCAGACAAGTCTCTTCCTATGTCAGAGCAGGTGATCAGATCATGCATCATCAGAGCAGAGACATCCACCATCCTCTGAGAGTTGAGGTCCTTATTTAGTGCCTGCTGAGTTCTGATTAACCTGTAGTTGCCTAAAGGAGGTGAGCCTGTGCCTATAAGATAATGAATTCACGATCCATCTTTTCTTCATATAAACAAATGGGAAACAGTGAGAACAAACATGCTCTGACTTGATGTCCTGGCAACCTTTCTGAGCTTTGGACAGCAGTGAGGGTAGAAAACCTGTGGGTTGTGTGACTTAACATATTTGAGCCTGTATGACTGCTGACAACTGAGCCAAAGAGTTTTTGAAATGACAAAGGTATGGTAGCAGAACCTGCTGAGGTCCAGGCTATTGCACGTTAGAGACATTTGCAGTCATTCCTGCCTTTTATCTTGGAGGAGTATTTGAGAACTGTTTTGCAACTAGGCCCATGCAGCTAGCATCCTTTTGTGCTGTGTTGTGTGCTGGTGAGATGTTTTATTTAAACTATGTAAGCTGACACTGGAGACTGACTGACTGAGAAATTCACAAGTTTACTAATGTGGTTTTCATTTGAAATTCAGGCAGAGTTGGCAGTAAAACATGTTTGTCTTCTCATTTTAATACAGATGTAACATGATTGGTCTTAAAGTGCAGCAGCAACCGTTCCCATCTCTGGGGAGATGCTATAAATAGCAGCTGTTTGTTGTTAATCTGGCTTCAATGTACCAAATGTGCCAAACATGGAACCACAAAATATGTGATTAACTGAAAAGGTATCAAAGTGGATAAAGTTATAACTCTTCTACAATCTTGACTTTCAGTGTCTTTTTGTACTGTGTATTTCTTGGTGTGCAGTGCTGTTTTACTTATCCTACAGTTACTAAGTGATGGAAAAACTGTTTCCTAAGTGCCCTACAAAGTACATAAATTTAATGGCTGCTCATTATTCTGTGATCCAGGATAAATACTTTAGAGCAGAAACAGAGGAGCTTATAAGTGGCCTTTTCAGAATCCTGGAGAGCTGTTCCAGGAATTCACTCTACAAAGCTTTTTGGCCTCCTGGTTTTTTGGAATGCCGTATCTGCAGTATGTACAATTTGAAAATTGTCTTCATTTTGAAAACCAAGGACATGAAAGACCATTGAAGAATTCACTGTGGCTTAGAGCCAAGTTTGATCAGCACTTTGAAAGTAGCAGTCCTAGGGATGACCTGAGAAACAGAGATGCTAATGTAGTAGCATAGATTGTGAGGTTCTTTACCAGTCTGTGATTGATGTAACAGAACCTGTTCTGCAAAGGACACAGATGCTTATTTATTTCTTCATTCTTCTTCCTTTCCCAGTTTCAAAGATCAGCCCTGTCTCAGATTTTGTGATACTGGGCAAAGATCCAGGGAAAAAGAGAACATAAAAATTGTCCAGGCTTCTGAGCCTGTTAAGCATTCATGCACATAACGGAAGAAATAATTTGTAGACCAAAAATCCATCCCAACCTCAAAAAAAGAAAAAAAAATCAACACAAAACAACCAGACTTTTCTGAAGATGTGTAATACTTAGTGCAGTGTTGTTTTATGGCTTGGCATCACTTCTACATATGTTAACAAAATGTCTATCCATTAGGTCTTTGATGTGGCTTCCAGATATCCCTATGCTCAAAGTAAATCATGCATACAATAGAGCTTTGAGGAGAAATATTTTAAGAGCCTGACGCCGTCATGTTATGGCTCCATTATCACATTTTCTCCATGTGGATTGTTTGGCTATTCATTCCAAGATGTTGAAGGGTTTCTAAATACAATTCTGTGAGCCTCTCTCCTGTGACTGTAAGCTGATCCCTGTTGCTGCTACAAATTAAGTGAATTTGAAAGAATTAGAAGATTATTATAGAGATTTGGTTTTGAAAGTTTTGAGAGTGCCAGCCCATTACTTCATGACAGTGAACTGATGGGCAAGAGAAGTAGAAAAACAAGTGGTGAAAAAGAAACAAGAGAAAGGGTGAAGAAAGAGCATTGGCATTGTTAGGAAATGTATTTTCTTTGAAGTGTTTTTGTTGATATTTGCTGAAATAGGTAGTACCTCTGTGTGTGTATGTTTTATTAATAACTGGCTTTCATACTATTAATTGGAGGCTGTCTTTTATTCTGTGCCTTGTGGGAGTGGCAATATTGCTGTCATTGGTTCTAAAACAGAAGTCTTTTCATGATGAAAACAGTTAAATTAATGCAAAACTGATATGGAGGAAATTTTTTCTTTGTAACATGATAATTTTATTTATTTGTTGGTTTGTTTATTTAGTTATTTTAACTAC